TTTCTCAAACTTAGAGTCACCAGCCCACATAAAATCATCTACATGACAAGCTAATACACCAATTAAGTTCCCACTATCATCTACCCAATAAAATACAGCTGAGTCTACTTTGGACATCTGCGCTCCAGTCTCTCCGTTATCATTTTCTTGGTCTCTAGACATATCTTGTTGAATCTCTCCTGTCTCTCTGTTTTCAGTCTCTAATTCTATAGATGTATCATGCTGAATTTCCGTAGGTTCTTCACTAACACTTTCTGACTGCTGAGATCTGTCATGGTTACTGATACTTTCTCTTGTAACAGTCTCTGGTTGGCTTGTTTTTCTGAGTCTACATTGATGCACTCTGACCAACATACCACCATGTCGTGCAAAAACTACAGTACCATCCTGTCCTATGACAGTAGCAGGACCCTTCCATTCAGGGCTATCAGGGCGCTTGTAGTATACTTTGTCTCCCAGTTGACAAGTCTCCATCAATGGACGAATTTGCTTTTTTAAAGCTCTTCTTATTCTCTCTGAGCATTCTGACTCAGTAAACGATCGCCTAGCAGCATACATTGAAGCAATGTGACTACCAACTATATTACTCATGGTGGTACCTTCTAAAGCTGGTGGTTTGTCTACCAGAACTGATGGCATGTTAGGATTTTTTCCATAGAGAAGTTGATAAGAACTATATCCATGGATGTTAGTAAGGCTGTTCTTAGCGAATAAGGCCCAGTTCAGAGCTGTCTCCCAGCTACATTTTTTTCTCTGCTTTGACTTTTCTTACAATCTCAGTTAGTGTCTGATTGTGTCTTTCAAGGCATCCATTACTCCATGGAGAATATGCTGCAGTGGTTCTCTGTTCAATATTAAAGTTCTCACACATATCCTGAACTTCAGCTGTTCACTACATGAAAGGTCAACCGGATGTTTACCCCAATGCATGCTGGGAGTTTATCGTACATCAAGTTAACAATCTCCTCTATATTTTTTTTTGTTAAAGAAGCAAGTTTACAAACTAAATAGTAGTATAGCAAAAGGTTTAGAACATAAATTCACAGTGACAAATATCTGACAAGATCAAAATCACAGAATTTAGTAAATGTCCAAAACAGTGTGTACTGTTTTGTAAAATGTTATTCATAATATTCCAGCATCAACTTTCAAAACAAAATTATACATTATTTATGTACAAGTATGCCTGCAGAGCATGTTTTTTTTTTTAATATGGTAATGCTCTAAAATTTTAACAATATGAAGTCAAGCCTACATATAAAAACTGCAAAAACATTTTTTTGGTCTGCGAGTGCCTCATAATGAAGCCAACGTGTTCCTGAAGTCGTGACTATAGTGATATCTCAGAAAATAATTTTCAGTTCTTTACTGTGTGATATCTGATTTATTAAACTCTTGTAAATTATTACACTTGTTTTGACAGACTGATATTTTCCAGTATGATTATTTTACTGTAATATTTCCAATAGAATCTCACCTACAGAGAGTTTAGCACTGTTGTACCGATAGTATATCAAATGTAAATGCCAATGAAGACTGACTGTGCTTCAGAACTGTACACTAATTTGTAATTAATGTGAGAGTGTTAAAATCAAGATCAAAGCATTGTTCATTGATGATGGTGCTGAGAAACACAGTGTGGTTTTAGAAATGAAATTTGGTTTTATCTTAGTTTACCACTTTGCTGACAGCCGCAATGCTGTTATACTTATCATTAAGAGTCTTTCATACTTCATTGGCTGGGAATTACTTACAGCTATAGAGGGAGATAACATTGCACCATCCAGGGCAGTATGTCAGCTCGCAAAACTTTATAATCAACTACCTATTTATGATATGCTGTAAAACATGGAATAGCCACATGTCATTTCAGCGAAATTGACTCAAGAATTAACAGAATCTTAATTTAGCTAAAGTGTCAACAATCTCATTGTGAGAATAAACTTTATTTTAAATTAGTGAAATTATGGATTAGCTAAATTAACATGGTTGCTAAAAGACACGTTTTACAGGAAATCATAATAATGTAGACATAATGATAAAGTCAGTGGATGTGATAGACTAAGTGAATATAATGATTTTGTGAATGGCATAATTAGTCAGTGGATGGATATAATGATTTAGTGAATGGCATAATGAGTCAGTCAGTGGATATAATGATTTAGTGAATGGCATAATGATTCAGTGAGCAGAAATGATTCAGTGGGTAGATATAATGATTTAGTGAATGGCACAATGATTCAGTGAGTGAACATAATGATTTAGTGAATGGCATAATGATTCAGTGAGTGGATATAATGATTTAGTGAATGGCATAATGATTCAGTGAGTGGATATAATGATTTAGTGAATGGCACAATGATTCAGTGAGTGAATATAATGATTTAGTGAATGGCATCATGATTCAGTGAGCAGAAATGATTCAGTGGGTGGATATAATGATTTAGTGAATGGCACAATGATTCAGTGAGTGAATATAATGATTTAGTGAATGGCATAATTAGTCAATGAGTGGATATAATGATTTAGTGACTGGCATAATTAGTCAGTGGGTGGATATAATGATTTAGTGAATGGCATAATTAGTCAGTGGGTGGATATAATGATTTTGTGAATGGCATAATTAGTCAGTGAGTGGGTATAATGATTTAGTGAATGGCATAATTAGTCAGTGGGTGGATTTAATGATTTAGTGAATGGCATAATTAGTCAGTGAGTGGATGTAATGATTTAGTGAATGGCATAATTAGTCAGTGAGTGGATGTAATGATTTAGTGAATGGCATAATTAGTCAGTGAGTGGATGTAATGATTTAGTGAC